TTTTATAAATTTTCTTCTTATACTCTGTGCCATATATCTTTACTCGACAAAACGCGATAATTAGTGAGTCAGGTTTCGCCGTATCTCTCGTATGCAAAATGCAATTCTCCCAGGTAATATAAATGCATTACCTACTACTTTAGCCTCTAATATAGCAAATCATCAGTATGTACACCAAAATTATCATTCGACATCGTCATCGTCGAAACATTGTTATAAAGAATTCATCTTCCTTTTAAAAATCTACTGAATCCCGCTGCCACGTAGCAACATTCGCCACATTCGAGATAAGGATGCTGAAAGTATTCATCGTGCCTCGGAAGAGCACGGAGGCGCGAAATCCGGGACCGACCCGGCTTTATCAAGCGCGGACTTTACTACTTGCGCGCACGATCAATGCATGAATGGAGCACACGTAGAGGCACCCACACGCGTACGCACGCCGCACGCACGCACGCACGCACGCACACACATACAGGCACATCACCGCCACTGCCGCCGCCGGCGAGAGAGTCCGTTTATGAGGATCCTCGCGAACGTCATCCAAGCGAAATTGCGGGCTGTCACGCGTCTTGCGATCATTATCGCAATTTCATCCGGGGGGATTCCCGGCCGGATCGCGCCATAGAATTTGACAGCTCCGAAGTGAAACGGTAAACGGAAGGAGAGAACGGAGACAGAAGGAGAGACGTACTCGCGCGCGTTGTACAAGATAAATGACTTACCGACGCCGTACTTGGTGGTTTTCGTCGTCGTCCACATCTCGAGGGCCGGACGGTGCGACGCCGACGACGTGGACCGGTGGTAGCGATAGCTACATGCCAGGGCGGCGCGTCTGCTGCTGTCCGCTGTCGCGCGCGCGTTCTACTCACCTCGCGTGACAATTCGTCTGCGACGATTTTGATTATCACGAGAGGCACGAAAACACAAACATTAGGTGTGTTCGACCGCACGAATATCATACACTGTGCCGCGACGACAGACGGCTGGCTGGTCGTAACGAATGGCGTTGTTGCCAGTACGGATTACCGCGAATGCCGCGAGGCGAGCCGCGGCTGACTGACGGCAACGCCGCCGCCGCCATCGGCCGCCCTCCCCCCCTCTTCTCGGCCCCTCCACGCTGCCCGCTAAGGCCGTCACTGCGCGTCACGTGGTATACGCTTCAGATGCACGGAGTAAAAAAATAACTAGAGGCGCTAGCGACGTATTATTAAACGAACTGCTATACTGAGAAAAAATATAGTTAATTTTAATAAATATTTAGTTCAATACTGTCAACTAAACATTTACTTACAATAAATATTTGTTCAATAAAAAAAATGATTGTTAAATTAACATTTCTTGTATCAAATAAATATATCTTTATATTTAATAAATATTAAATTATTTAATAAATATTAAATATTTAATTGGCAGTATTCAACTAAATATTTATTAAAATTGACTATATTTTTTTTCAGTGTACAACTTTAATGGTTTTAGCTTGTAAACGTTAATTTTACGATTTATTATTAGAGGATGTATTACAGAATAAATGTATAGTAAATGCAAAAATTAACTTTGGTTTCGAAACTTTGTTTCGAACGAAACTTTATTTCGTCTTAAAGACGATTCAGAGAACACGAGTTCAGAACTAAAGACATGTCTTAAAGATCTTTTTAATATTATTATGTGTATACAAGATTTTGTTAAAGAATGTCTCAAAGATATTCTTTTTGAAAATTATTTTAAAAATATAACAACGCTATTTAATTACGATTATACTTTGTTGATTATTCAAAATCCCAAATTGTTAAAATCATAATTCTTGGAACTATGGAACCACTTTGTTGATTACTTTTTCATGTACCGAAAAAATATAATACAACACTGAGGATTGAAAAAGTATTGGAAAAATACAAAACAGTAGTATTAAATTTTCAAAAATTGCAATTCCAGCGAACGTTTTCAAAATTAAGCGCCAAGTCCACCAATCAGGTCATTCCTCCCGACGCGAGTTGCGTGGAAAACCCATAAAAATGTTATAGGAATGAGAGTTTCCCTTCTAGTTATTTCATGGAATATTAGGTCATATCAGGTGGTCAAAAATCATTGAGAAACGGTTACCAACGGTCGCGATTGCGTTTCGTCATTCGTCATTCGATCCATCAGGTTTAGGACAGGACAATCTTGAACGGGGCCCCAGGATTTACAACGATACAATTATTACTTATAGACGACAAGCTTCATTGAGATGCGACCGGACTCGCGTAGCGTCTCGTTCACGTTTCACCGGGAGGTGTTAAGCGTGCAAAACTCGCCGGAGATGGTGCGGAGCTCGCGAAATTTGCGTCAGCGTCTGCAAGATCGATTCGAGAAAGATCGGGGATCATCCAACAACGATGCAAAAGAGAAACCACAGAAGACAAAGGATTCGACCGATCGGCCTTGGAACAATATCAGCCTTGGCAATGTATCCGCGGATTCGAGACGAGCGTTACGAAACGGTGCCGAGAAATTGTCCAGGACAATATCCTCTGTGCGTACTACTTTTGGCACAATATCTCAGGTAAGATACATAAAAATTTATGAACAAATTAATAAGAAGTGAATTTTACCTTTTTATATTTCTTTTACTTGGACTGTTTATTATAAATTTCAACAAATTTAAATTAATATCTTTTCATCTTTATTTAATATTTGATTCTAAATGATGATTCTAATTATTTGGTTCAATCAGAATTGATCCTATTGAAATTATAAAACGATCATTTTTGTATTAATTAGCATTAAATAATTTTATGTAAAGTAATAAAAGTAAGAAGAGAGTTTTAATGTCTATAAAAATTTTAGTGTAAATGTCTAATGGCTTTCTACAATGAGCCATTACCTAAGTTTTTTAAATCTTAAGTTGTAAGAAATTGATCAATTATAATCAAAAATGTAAGAAGAATAAACGACTATGTTTTGATCTATATTGATTCTTACAGTTTAAGACTTTAAAGTTTAAATAATGGCTTATTGTAGAAAGATATATTATTAGATATATAAATTTAATGCATTATATTATGATAATATAACAAATATATAATATCAAATACACATATCAAAACCAAGCAAACTTAAAGAATTCTTTCCTATGTATAGAAATTTAAGAGTTCCACACGTAGACGCCAGCGACTGGAGGAACAACAGTCTCCATCCAACATGCAAACACCTCAGACTCGCTCCCGTCAACTTTTAGGTCGCACACCGACTAAACTCTACAGTCCTTTTGGCATTGAATCACCGAGACACGCCTGGAATAAGGAGAATGAAATTAGCACGCCGGTACGTGCAGTACGTGCCTCGTCGCCAGAGTGTAACATGCGTTATATACACTGTAGACCATTTCGCTTCACAAAAGTGAAAGGATTCTCTATGTTGAGATAAGAGAAGAGCCAGGAGCCTTCTCTTCAAAGTTACTGCTCGATCTCTCTTTCTTCCTAGTGAACGCAGCCAGGTTTGCGTGCCTTGTGTGCAACAACATTTATATATCGAGTATAATTTATTTATGTTCAGTCGCGAGTAACTCGCCGCAAGCGACGCGATTCCGTCATTGAGGCAGCAATGATGTTTTTTTATACAAGTAGGATAGGACGAGACTGTTCCATCGATTTCAACTGTAGGTTTCTACAAGTCTTTACCTTTAAATCTTAAGTCGTAAGAAATTGAACAATCATAGTCGATTATTTACATTTGACTGTAATTAATCAATTTCTTACACTTAAGATTAAACTCGAGATAATGGTTTACTATAAAAAATCCATTAAAGTCAAAGTTAAAGACTCATATTTTTTTTCAAGAAAAAACCTGTTTGTTTTTAAATATGTTTTTAATGCTTCAGATATGCTTTAAACAGTATTAAAAAAAACCATTTAAAACATAAAAAACATCAATTAAGTATGTTTTAAACTGTTTAAAACACATTTAAAACATATTTTTTTATCAACCCTGATTAAAGTAATATAAAATTTAGCAAACAATATCTCTATAGTGAGATCCTGCTCACAACTACTTTATACAATCATGATTGCTTCTCGAAAGCACAGGATCTTTACATGTTCAAAAACACGAACACTATCAGAAATGAATGGAAAGGTCTCGCTTTATCCTAATATTTATAGATATGCTAGAAGAGAAGAGAGTGTACCTTTCATAATATTTATATCATTCCATCGC